CATGAGGCGTTCCGGAGATGGAGGCACCTGCTAATTGGCGCACAACATAAGGTGCAAGTGTGCACTGACCACAAGAACCTAGAGTATTGGAGGACGGCACGTGTGCTCAACCAACGGCCAGTGAGGTGGGCCCAGGAATTCTCCAAATTTAACTTTGAGATTTGTTACGTGCCAGGCCCAGAGAACATTAGGGCGGACGCTCTCTCACGCAAACCTGAATATTTGGAGGGAGGGAGCACCCGAAGAGAGACATGTCATTCCAGAGGACCGCTGGGTGTGTGGGGCGGCATTGGTGGGACAAAGAGAACTGGTAGAAGAAACAGAGAATGATGAATACGCCCAGAATAAGCTCAGAGGTCTTAGGGATGAGGGAGAGGAATCAAGGGGTTTCGAGGAAAGAAATGGAGCTTTGTATTACAAAGGGGCACTGTATATCCCTGAAGGAGACTTAAGGGGAGGGTACTCAAGCAGTTGCATGACAGTCCCACGGCGAGGCATTTTGGGCAACACAAAACCATGTGGTTGGTCACCAGGGAATTTTGGTGGCCTAAGGTGAGGGAGGATGTACGTGAGTATGTAAGAGGGTGCGAGCAGTGCCAGCGAGCCAAAGGGGAAAGGCGGGCGCCGGCGGGGCTGTTAGAACCCTTACCAACACCAGAACGACCTTGGGAGGCAGTGTCGATAGATTTTATGACTGATCTGCCGAAGTCCAAAGGGAAAACAGCCATCATGGTGGTGGTAGACCTACTAACAAAGATGTGCCACTTTGTAGCTTGCTCGCATGCAGTCACGGCGGAAGAGACAGCGAAGTTATTTGTAGAACACATTTTTAGGTTGCACGGGGTGCCATTGAGGGTGGTCTCAGACCGAGGAAAACAATTTACTTCCAGGTTCTGGAGGAAGCTCATGAGCTTACTGCAGGTGGAGGTCAACTTTTCGACTGCCCGGCACCCTGAAACCAACGGGCAGGCGGAAAGAGCAAACGGTGTCCTCCAGCAATACCTGAGGTGTTATGTCAATGACAGAGAGAATGACTGGGTAGAAAAGTTGGCGCTGGCGGAATTTGCCTACAACAATGCCGAGAATGTGTCCACAGGGATGAGCCCCTTCTTGGCTAATTATGGGTGTCATCCCAGGGCTTTCCCAGGTGGAGAAGGGGAGAGATGGAGCGTACCGGCAGCCGAGCATTTTGTAGAAGAAATGGAAGCAATCCACCGTCAGCTCCAACTCAACTTAGAAAGGGCGAAGGAAGAATACAAGAGGCAGGCAGACAAGAACCGAAGGGAAGGTGAAACCATAAGGGTTGGAGATAGGGTGTGGCTGTCAACCCGAGGGTTGCCGTTCAAAGGAGGTTGTAAGAAATTAAGACCCAGGAGGTTGGGTCCCTTTGAGGTCATTCAACAGGTCAACCCAGTGGCTTTCAGGCTCCGGTTACCCAACCACATGAAACTGCACCCAGTATTTCACAGGTCGTTACTGTCACCGTACGAGGGGACGAGAAGGGATGGCCACTCGGGGACCGGTCATAGAAGAAAGAGAATGCAGCAGTCATGTGGCAGAAATCCTTGATGCCAGGTGGAAGGGGAATCAGGTGGAGTATTTGGTAGCGTGGGAAGGAGAACCGGAGTCAGAAAACACGTGGGTAATGGCCGAAGATATCAATGACGAGGTATTGATAGAAACGTTCCATCAAAGGTTCCCGAGGAAACCTCAGCCTGTGGAGAGGTTCCGGAGGGAATACTTGGGACCACTGAGGAGGAGGAGGAGTTGGAAGGATTCCCAGAATCGGAAGGGGAAGGGAGATGGACTCGGAGGAGGAGGAGTGCTTCGAGACCAGGAACCGCAACAGGTGGAGAGAAGTGTTCGAGACATCGGAAGATGAAGGAAGTTCATTCCGGGGTTTTGCCTCCTCACCGCCCGTAGAGGAGGGCTCGAGAGGGGGTGCAGGGGCCCCTGGAGGGGAGGTGGATGTCAGTGAACTGCCACCGGCACGAAGGGACGTGACCGGACTCAGACAGGTTGGAAGAGACTCAGCAGCGGAAGAGGGAACCAGCAATGGGAGAGAAGCTGACCTGAGGGAGGTGAAAGGGCGCAGACAGGTTGGAAGAGACTCAGCAGCTGAAGAGGAAACCAGCAGGGGAGAGAAGCTGAACTGAGGGAAAGGGAGCTGGGGGATGGCTCAGAGATACTTCCAGCGAAAACAGTGGTGAGGTTTCCGGACCTCCTGTAGGGACACCCACTCCTCGCCGGAAACTGTCACGCAGAGAGTCCAGAAGACGTGTTTCCGTTAAGGAGCTTTTATGTTGGAAGCGATTACGAAAGCAGCCACTGTCGGAATCTTCTAGTGACTAGAGGAGCCATGTCAGAGGGGCTCAGTCACAGACAGAGGTTTGTGGACTTGAACAAACTCTGAGGGAATACGATTTTACGCACAAGCAGCTCATCTTCCCATCACA